TTGACCTGAGCGCAAAAATGGAGGCTCTAGACCCTTCCAGAGCTGAGATATCGAAACTCAAAATTTCGACCCGAAAAAAAACGACAGTGTTACCCCTTACGTTTTTTTCAGTTTTCGGGCGAAAAATCAAGTTTCTCCAATCTTCTCAAAACTCTGGATTATGATAGAGGGCCGCGAGACTTTGACCTGAGCGCAAAAATGGAGGCTCTAGACCCTTCCAGAGCTGAGATATCGAAACTCAAAATTTCGACCCGAAAAAAAAAACGACAGTGTTACCCCTTATTTTTTTTCAGTTTTCGGGCGAAAAATCAAGTTTCTCCAATCTTCTCAAAACTCTGGATTATGATAGAGGGCCGCGAGACTTTGACCTGAGCGCAAAAATGGAGGCTCTAGACCCTTCCAGAGCTGAGATATCGAAACTCAAAATTTCGACCCGAAAAAAAAACGACAGTGTTACCCCTTACGTTTTTTTCAGTTTTCGGGCGAAAAATCAAGTTTCTCCAATCTTCTCAAAACTCTGGATTATGATAGAGGGCCGCGAGACTTTGACCTGAGCGCAAAAATGGAGGCTCTAGACCCTTCCAGAGCTGAGATATCGAAACTCAAAATTTCGACCCGAAAAAAAAAACGACAGTGTTACCCCTTACGTTTTTTTCAGTTTTCGGGCAAAAAATCAAGTTTCTCCAATCTTCTCAAAACTCTGGATTATGATAGAGGGCCGCGAGACTTTGACCTGAGCGCAAAAATGGAGGCTCTAGACCCTTCCAGAGCTGAGATATCGAAACTCAAAATTTCGACCCGAAAAAAAAACGACAGTGTTACCCCTTACGTTTTTTTCAGTTTTCGGGCGAAAAATCAAGTTTCTCCAATCTTCTCAAAACTCTGGATTATGATAGAGGGCCGCGAGACTTTGACCTGAGCGCAAAAATGGAGGCTCTAGACCCTTCCAGAGCTGAGATATCGAAACTCAAAATTTCGACCCGAAAAAAAAACGACAGTGTACCCCTTACGTTTTTTTCAGTTTTCGGGCGAAAAATCAAGTTTCTCCAATCTTCTCAAAACTCTGGATTATGATAGAGGGCCGCGAGACTTTGACCTGAGCGCAAAAATGGAGGCTCTAGACCCTTCCAGAGCTGAGATATCGAAACTCAAAATTTCGACCCGAAAAAAAAACGACAGTGTTACCCCTTACGTTTTTTTCAGTTTTCGGGCGAAAAATTAAGTTTCTCCAATCTTCTCAAAACTCTGGATTCTAATAGAGGGCCATGAGACTTAAACCTGAGTGCAAAAATGGAGGCTCTAGACCCTTCCAGAGCTGAGATATCGAAACTCAAAATTTCGACCCAAAAAAAAAAACGACAGTGGTACCCCTTTCGTTTTTTTTTCAGGCGAAAAATGAAGTTTCTCCAATCTTTTCAAAACTCTGGATTCTAATAGAGGGCCATGAGACTTAAACCTGAGTGCAAAAATGGAGGCTCTAGACCCTTCCAGAGCTGAGATATCGAAACTCAAAATTTCGACCCGAAAAAAAAAACGACAGTGGTACCCCTTTCGGGTTTTTTTTCAGGTGAAAAATGAAGTTTCTCCAATCCTCTCAAAACTCTGGATTCTAATAGAGGGCCGTGAGACTTAAACCTGAGTGCAAAAATGGAGGCTCTAGACCCTTCCAGAGCTGAGATATCGAAACTCAAAATTTCGACCCAAAAAAAACGACAGTGGTACCCCTTTCTTTTTTTTTTCAGGCGAAAAATGAAGTTTCTCCAATCCTCTCAAAACTCTGGATTCTAATAGAGGGCCATGAGACTTAAACCTGAGTGCAAAAATGGAGGCTCTAGACCCTTCCAGAGCTGAGATATCGAAACTCAAAATTTCGACCCAAAAAAAAAAGGCAGTGGTACCACTTTCGGGGTTTTTTTCGGGCAAAAATTAAGTTTCTCCAATCCTCTCAAAACTCTGGATTCTAATAGAGGGCCATGAGACTTAAACCTGAGTGCAAAAATGGAGGCTCTAGACCCTTCCAGAGCTGAGATATCGAAACTCAAAATTTCGTCACGAAAAAAAAACGACAGTGGTACCCCTTTCGGTTTTTTTTCGGGCGAAAAATTAAGTTTCTCCAATCTTCTCAAAACTCTGGATTCTGATAGAGGGCCATGAGACTTAAACCTGAGTGCGAAAATGGAGGCTCTAGACCCTTCCAGAGCTAAGATATTGAAACTCAAAATTTCGACCCGAAAAAAAAAACGACAGTGGTACCCCTTTTGTTTTTTTTTTCGGCGAAAAATAAAGTTTCTCCAATCTTCTCAAAACTCTGGATTCTAATAGAGGGCCATGAGACTTAAACCTGAGTGCAAAAATGGGGGCTCTAGACCCTTCCAGAGCTGAGATATCGAAACTCAAAATTTCGACCCGAAAAAAAAAAACGACAGTGGTACCCCTTTCGTTTTTTTTTTTTCAGGCGAAAAATGAAGTTTCTCCAATCCTCTCAAAACTCTGGATTCTGATAGAGGGCCATGAGACTTAAACCTGAGTGCAAAAATGGAGGCTCTAGACCCTTCCAGAGCTAAGATATCGAAACTCAAAATTTCGACCCGAAAAAAAAAAACGACAGTGGTACCCCTTTCGTTTTTTTTTTTTTTTTTCGGGCGAAAAATAAAGTTTCTCCAATCTTCTCAAAACTCTGGATTCTAATAGAGGGCCATGAGACTTAAACCTGAGTGCAAAAATGGAGGCTCTAGACCCTTCCAGAGCTGAGATATCAAAACTCAAAATTTCGACCCGAAAAAAAAAACGACAGTGGTACCCCTTTCGTTTTTTTTTTTTTTTCAGGCGAAAAAAGAAGTTTCTCCAATCCTCTCAAAACTCTGGATTCTGATAGAGGGCCCTGAGACTTAAACCTGAGTGCAAAAATGGAGGCTCTAGACCAGTGTTTCTCAAACTTTTTCAGCCCAAGGACCACTTTATCTTCCATTTTTTTTCCTGAGGACCACCTAACAAAATCCCACTCTAACACGCCCCCAAAAACAAACAAAAAATGTAAGGATAAGCTAAATTTAAGTTTAAATTTAACTCCTAACTGAGCTTTGACTGATATAGGCTTTTCATTTTTCTGTCAGTGAAGAAAGTAAACAGGGTCAACTGATATAGGTTGATTTTGGCTATGAATAATTTTTTTTCAGACGCGTTTATTTACTGAAAGCTAAAGCTTGGTAATTAAGTTTATCAAATGCATTCACAATATGTATAGGCTACACATTTATTATTGTTTGTATGCCTAATACAGGGCTTTATAATCAAAGAGGTCCTAAATTTGAGGTTGGTAGGGGCTTCACATTTTTTAGTTATCTGATATTTGCATTTTCAAGACGTTTGAAGACCTAAAAAAAGGATATGAAATTGCTTTAAAACCATGTCAGTGGGCAGTAGATTATTTGTCAAAGAAGAGGAGAGCCTCACCTCTCATCTCACTCTTTCTTTTTTCCTCAGTCTCTTCATCACTTTCTCTTCCCCTCTGAAGACTTAGCTTTGTACTAAAGGCTACAATTTGTATTATATTCTCAATATGTATACATTCATTATTACTCATGTGCCTAAAATGATGAAAACGGTCATTTCTTGTCCCCTCACAACAATGACAGTAAACTAATTATTACATTACACGTTACTATTTTTTATACTAATTTTCAGTTCAAAATGGCTATTAGTTTGCCTGATTATTTTTTGTCATTTGTTTAACATTTATGACCTCAAAAATTAAGTCAAATATGAAATGTTAAGTTTAGCTACCTGTAATAAATTATTACATATCGCGGGCTTTCGCGCTAATTGCGGAGCAGGCATGCTAGTCAAGTGATCAGCCGCACACATTACAAACTACTAATAAAGTGATAAGAGCAGCTTACAACAGGTAACATCTCATTCTCATACAGCTCATTCGTATTAGGCTATGTTAAACAGTGTTTATACTAAAACCGCAAGTGTGTTTTGTGCATTTTGTTTCGCAGTTACCTTCGTCTTCTAGTCTTCTCTTCTCGATAGTTCTTCCTGTTTTTAAATGTTAACGAGAATGTGTCCAATTTGGGCATGGGCGTGGTAGCTTCTGACGTCACACTTGGATGGGGCCGGGTTGGATCTCCACCGCAGGATGCAGCGAGAGGCTTCTCCAAGGTATGGGCTCTATGCACGGCGGTATTTCCGGTGAAGGTGTAAGGATGCACGATAACTTCCGCCGATCGTAGAGTCCAATGTAATACCGAGAATTTATATTGAATTTTATACTCCATGGTTATACTAAAGAAACGTTAAAAACAGATAAAACAGACACCCCTCGTTGTGTTTATGCTTCTTTTTAAAATTATATTAAATAAACATAACTATATATAAAATTGCATCTAAACGTACGTTTCGTTTCAAAGACGGGAGGACAGTAAATTTTGAAGATTCTGCCATAATCCCGTTTTCCTCGGTTTTCCTCTGCTTTAATCTCCACAACCGGAAATGGACGAGCATCCTTACGTCAAATGCGGAACTTATGCGTGCATATAGCCCATTCGACGGGCCAGAAATCCTGGCTGTTGGCCCTGAGTAAGCCCCGATCAAGCCCCGGAAGTGACAGTGGAAACACGGCTCGGCCCCGACCCGGCAGTGGAAACGTGGCTATTGGATATTCATTAACACCTGTACACCTGTATTTGGTTCATCATCACAGTATATTTAAGTTCCTCTTTAGTTAGGGTTATCTCTTTGATTAATAAACAACATTTCTTTTTGAAATACTTTGTCTGTCTTCTTCATCCTGGGACATTGTTACAACTTGGTTAATGTTGTGTACAATGTAAATCATTTTTTATTGCATGGCTCCTTGATAATCCAAAAGGTCACAACTTCTTACAACAGGTGATTTCCAATGTTCTATTTGCCTTTATAACAAAGCGAACACTTATTTACATATTGTTGTGGCAAAAATTCTGTTAAACATCATCACTGTAAGAGACAGCTCAGAATCAAATTTATAAAAGAGAAGAGTTTATTCTCGTAAGAATAGGCCCATGCAGTCAACAACACAGCAGTTTCCCTGTGGAGGGAGTGAGACACTGAGATACAGAAATAGGCAATCTTTATACTGATCTTTCAAGGTCCTTTCCGTGCAAAGATTCCCAGTAGTTTTCCACAGTTAAAAGGTCCCTTACTAGCTTTATCACTAACTAACCCTTTAAGCCCCCCTTAATTAGTCCTTGCCCATCTGGTTCTAGAGTGTCTCGCTCCTGCACAACAGATGTATATACATACATTTCAGAGAAGTTTCTTCTTCTCACATCAGACTTCAAATGATAAAACCATATGACATTCCTTTGTAAGGTCCACTGAAATTCAATGAAAATCAGAAATTTATTTCCGCAACAAAATAAAGGATTATTCCAGGTTTAATAAGTTAAACTCAATGCCACAGTGCTTGTGGCATAAAGTTGATTACCACAAAAATGTAATTTTCTTACTTTCTTTAAAAAAAATAAGTTTAACAGTGAATCACTTATATTTGAAATGAATGGGGCCAGTCTGTAAATGTTACAATCCACACAGTATCAAGATGCAAATAACATGGTCTAGGTGTGAAAAAAAAAAAAATCTGTGTAAAGTTATATACAATGTTACAACTTTGTTTTGGATACATTTTGACAATATGAATAAAACCCTAAAAATGACAAAATAACAACTTTACATCTCAAACATTACGTTTCAATAAAGAATTAATCTAAATGCTTTATTAAAATCTTAAGCTTCACATGTTTGCTTAAAAAAATCCCATGCACTGTCATTGTAAATTACTCACCATAATCTTGATTATGGTAAAAACTCTTATTCAGAGCGACATAAAAAGTGCTTTAGCTTCACATGTGAGGCTGTCAGGGTCAACAGATGGCAGGCATTTTGTAGAAGTTGCTTTAAAAATACTTATTTACAAATTTTTTATAGTATTCAAAAATAATAAGAAAGAATACTGAATTACTTTGTCTACAATAAGACATTTTCTTTTTTACAAACTCATTACACTGTTATTTGACCATATAAAACACAGTGTGTGATCCTTAGGCAATCGCAGCATATGTACTATACAGTGAGGTTTCATCCATTTTGCTCATGTCTGTCTATCGTTCATGGCACACCCTCAGTCTCTTGAAACAGGAAATAATCCATGTTATGCAGATGAATGCCCTCCTGCACCTCTTGCTGAGCAGGAAGGAAGTGCTGCTGGCTGTGCTTGGGTGGAGACATCAGTGACTTTCCCTCTTCTGGAAGTTGCTCAGATGCAGCAGGAGTAGGAAGAGGACGAGAGGAATGTAGGAGGAATGTAAAGGGGAAAGTCTGTTTGCCTATTTTAGACATGAAATGCAGCCTATTCCTAAAAAGAATAAAAACGAGTAAAACTTTAATTTTTAAAAAGATGTTTTCAGAGCTAAGAAATCGCCAAAAGGACATTAAAAGATGGATGTGATAGGAAAGAGTTTTACCTGAAGAAAAAGACCATAAGCATGGTGAGGGCTACAATAAAACACAGCCCAAAAACACAAGACACGTACAGCCACACGGTAGCATGTCCAAAATCATCAGCCCCAACAATTACCACTGATTCTGAGAGATAGAGAGAGTGAGTGAGGACAGAGGTGAAATGTCACGGAAGGCTGAAACATTTGGAAAGTACAGGATATTGTTAAACTCCAAACATGTTGTAGTGACCATTTCCTGTTTTGGATTTCTGGTAAGGTACCACATTCATTTTCTTTCTCATTTCATAATAGATTTACCAGATGTGTGAGTAACAGTACCTGAAGGAGAACAATGAGATGGTTTTTTTTTTGCTCAGACTCACCTACACCATGAACTTCTCCAGAACCTTCAGGAAACATCTCAAAGGGTTCCTGAAAGATGGAAGAGATAATAAACATAAGGTTTAAATATAGTGATAAGTATGTGGATGATTTCAAGTGCTGGTGTGTTATTGTGTTGAATGAACTCACCAAGGTAATGCTCTCAAACGAAGTAGTCGTCTCAGGAGCTACAAAGAAACCCAAACACACATCCAAATGTACAAACATGTTTTAAGGGTAAAAAATAAATGGCTGTTGCACCCTTAAAGCTGTTGTTTTGCTTCTCCTACCCCAAAACTGTATAAAATATTAAAGGGATACTTCAGGATATAGCATTAAGCTTCGTATTAGTAGAGAACCTGTAGTATTTTCGAATTATCATTCTTTCCACCCGCATATCCTCTTGAGACAGAGATTCACGTATTTTTTGTCTGGAAAAAAATCCTCCGATGATGCAAAAATCGTCATCGGGTGATTTTTTGGCCAGAAGCTAAATACAGTCAGTAGTAGGGGCTGTTCCGCATGTTTTCAACCCGCCCATAGAGGGTGGGATCTCACTCACAGAATGGACACAAAGTGTCAGACATTTTTTTTGGGAAGCTAAGCTAGCAGGCTCTTGTTCTGTAGGGAATGCTGAGTAGTAGGGGTTACCATCCTCTTTTTCACAGACATAAGCGGCCATTCATTGTTCATATGTTTTCATGAACAGCATTTGTTTCAGTCTAACTGAATTCATTCCAATTAGTTTTAACATTGCTAAGAAAAAACTGTTGCTCATCGGTAATCACGCCACCAGCCTCGCGCCATTCTCCCGCAGCCCTAGCCTCATCCTACTCGCCACAGTAAACATATTGAATGGCGACTGTAGAACGCAAAAGCCGAATCTCTGACATTTTGGGTGGTCTCGAAACACATTTTTGGGCAGACTCATCACAGAGACTCACTAGACTAGCCTAGACTTGTTGTTTAACTAGCCTACTGGACTCTGTTACCAGTAGGCGTGGCCTGCTAGGGCAGTGAAGCAAGTGCATTCTGGGAGTTGTTGTCTTTCATCCACATAAATACATTTTCTGGCTTTTCTCAGTCTAGAAAGCTCCAAATTCCAAAAAAAATTTCACATTTCTTCTACATAAATGACCCATTTTAAATACACATTCATCTTTCCAGAGGTGAAGTATCCCTTTAATTCTTATTTCTAGAGAATAATTTATTAAAATATTAAAAAAAACATCTGGTCAATTATTTTCTTTCAGCATTTCACTGTGTATTTTGTTTTGTTCTTGCATATTTTACACTAGAAAACAAGAATTTAGTTGCACAGCCCAGTCCTTTTTTGAGAGCTTGCCCAATCGATTGAAAGGTAAATTTTGAAGCTTTTCACAATGCAAACAGTGTAAATAATGCTGTCCTAGTCTCCCAGTGAAGCACACCATCTGGACTGGACCCAAAATAATGTGTTTAGAGACTTTTATCTGATGCATATTGATCTTTGCTCTCTTAAAATCAATATACAGGTTTTGTGCCAAAGACTCCCACTAAAGCATGGATTAAATCAGCTTTGATTACAGTTTTTCTCAGTCGCTTTGGTGCATTTCTCACATCACTATTTACATTTGCACAACAGTTAGTTCAACCTCCACAACATTTTGTCATTTGTGCACATCATAGTAGCAGTTTCTCATTCCTTCCAACAAATTGCAAATGCTTTTGGACATGCACCAATTGCTTTCATACAACTCTCCGCTGTTTTATAACATTATCATTTGCTTATGTCATGTCAGTCCAAATTAACTATACTTGTGAATGCTGAATAGTCATTCCATATAAAACTAATAGTCCTCATTTCATTCCTTGAGTCATCACATACAAAAATGTTAAACTAGTTGTCAAAATCCGTCAAGCAATTTTTTTTATATAGATAGATAGATAGATAGATAGATAGATAGATAGATAGATAGATAGATAGATAGATAGAATGTTACTGATGGCAGTGTTATAAACAACCATGAATTTTGTTACCTGACCAAGTGACCGCAAATACAGGATCAGTCCATTCACTCCAAACACCGTCAAACTCATCCTTGGCCCGAAGCTGCACTTCATACGGAGTGTGTGGCAGAGCGTCATTAATCGCCAAGGACTGTTGTCTGATTGAATATTCATCTATCAACACCAACTGGTACTAAATACAAATACAACCGCTCATAAATATAGACTCACAACCCAAGGGAAGCCATTGTGTATTTTCATCCAAAAGATCTATGCATAATTATAAACCAGCAGTCCAACTCTACCTGCTCTGCAAGTTGTGGTCTGTATCTTAGCTGAAAATGCAGGACATAATAGCCATCCTTCCAGGAACTGGGATAAGACCAGGATACATTAAGCGTTTGCTTCTGGCCCTCAACTGCTTTTACCACCACTCTGGTCGGGGGGTCTGGCTTAACTGTAGAGAGAGAGAGAAAAAAGAGATTTTCCTTTCACAAACAACTTGGTGGTATGCTTTTAAAAAGTACCTAATCAACATCCTACAGGATGGAAAAACACACAAGTGCTCACTGATATCATGTAGCTTGAAGCTGAGTTCAGGGCTCATGGCACTGCCTGCTGTGTTGGACACACACAGTTTTGCCACATGGAGAGCTCTGTCACCCTCCTCCATGGGGAAAGCACACCAACAGCGGGACCGGGAGAATGAACAAGGCACACGAGTGATGTTACCAAACAATCTTTGGAAGGAGACAAAGGGAGGTAGAGAAGAGCACAAAAGAGATCAAATGATTCAATTTTGTGTCTATATTTGAACATTGTAAAAACACTGTACATATTTTATGAATCCTTTATATTATAAATATGTTATAATATGGGAACAGGACCATTATAATATGAGGATGATTATTCATACAGAAAATGCCTTTTCCTCACACAGACCTTTCATGTGGTTGCCGAAGACTAATTTTAGTTATTTTATTTTAAGTGGCATTGCAATATATATATATATTAAAATGAAAACAACTGTTTGTAGTGTTTGCTGTTTAATAATCATTTGAAATGCAGCAAACTGGCCGCTCCAGCAGTCCAGCTGTCATGCAAATAGCATGTATAAATCTTAATTAAACAATTTAATCATCAATTAAAAACAAATTTTTACCTGAATGATATTAGGTATTATATAGTATAAATGATATTAGTGGTCGCCATCTTCAGGTCGAATTCATTCGGCACTACCTTCACAGTGCATTGTGGGTATTCTCTAGCCATTGAGCGTACATCAGTTGTACACTCATTATTGCGGTGCGTTATGGGATTGAATGAGTGCACTTGATAACACCCACTACGGTTTCGGACACCAGTACAAATGGCTTTCCCGTCAAAAAGTGCCCTATTTAAGGGTATCCGCCTTATTCACGGCAGCGCCATCTTTTATTTTTAATGAGAATGAAAGCGAGGCTGTGAGGGATAGACATGCATCGCTTCAATGGGCTGTACTGTTATTTAATGTGTTTTCGGATTGTTCTGCTCATGGAACACTGGCAAAATATCTTTCCAAGAAATTTCAGTTGACAAAAAACTCCCAACAATGTAAGCTGTGGATAATTGTAAGTAATATAGCAGCTTTATTCAGCTTTTTACAGCGGATGCCATTGGAAACACGGTAAGTCTATCCCTCACAGCCTCACTTTCATACCTGTCATGGTATGAATAAGGTCTATAGGGGGCGATTCCAGACACAGCCCTAGTTTCCTGTGTGCCAGATAGTCACTAATTTACATCACCTGTTGTTTATTTAGTTTCCTATTTTACCCCTGTGTATTCAAACCCATGAGTTATGTCTGTTCTTTGTTCAGTGTGTTCATTCTAGTTTATACTCTCCTGCGTTTTGGTTTTCTTTTTAAAACTTTGAATCCTTGTGTGTTTTGAATAGAACACACCAGAAACCTGACATCACACAAAACTGAATGAAGATTAAAAATACAAGCATGCCAATTTGAAATGTCATGACAGTATGTCATTTATTCCTAAAAAAAATGCTGATTACTGTTAAATAAATTCAGTCTGTCTTTGTCCAGTTACCAAAGACACACTCACCCTCTAACAAGAAGTAGGTAACACAGCGGCCGTGGGGTTACTGGATGTTTGGACGTCCAATCGCAGCGGACCTTACTGGTGTGAAACTTCCTGTAGCAAAAGACAGTGGGTCTCTCTGGGGGCACTGTGAAAATAACACAAGAATATGAATTTCTTCTGTGTACTGTGTATCTGTAAATCACTTATCAATATACCAGCAAAAGAAAGCCCTCACCCCCTACGCTGATTTTGAACGTGGAAACGAGTCTCTCTCCTCTGTAGCAGCTGTAATTCCCAACATCTGCCAAGCCGAGATGTGGACGTCTTAAAATCCCTCCCCTTTCCACCCCAACATGTACTTGTCGTCCGTTGAGAGTCCAGCGTGTTCGCTTTTTGATTCCTCGTGTCACCCTGGACCCTTCCTCTTCATAATCATAGTCCTCATAATCGTCTTGATCAGGATCTGTCCCCATGGCCTCTTCTTCATGACCAGCAGTTTGACTGACAGCACGCAAAACACGTCTAGAAGTGCTTTGCTCCTTTCTTATGGTTACAGGGGGTTTAACAGTGACCGTTGTGCCCCCTTTAGTTTTGGTATATATACCAGAATCAGTCTTTGGGTTTGTTCCAATAGCATCTCCCTTCAGACTGGTTATTTGTGTAGCATTAGCATGAACTCTGTGGGACGTCCAGTTGACAGTGATGTCTTCTCTCTGCTTGTTTCTATATTTTTTATTCATGACACTGGTTGAAGCCAATGGCACATCGTCCACAGTGACATCGCCTCTGCAGCCAAGCACAACATTGCTTCCTAACTTCAAGACCAAAACTCCCGGAAGGGGCTCTGAAGAAGAAGAACACAGCAGTTAGATTATTAATCACACATAATCCTGCACAGAATATACTGTGCACTGCTGGGCTTTTTCACGTGTACTGTTGTCTAGTCTGAGTACATAATATTCATGCATGGGTACAGTACAATTGTACCCACAGTTCATTGCGTTTCTAAATATGGAATAAAATTATGCAACAAAGAGGTACTTTTGCTTTCACTTCCTTTTATTAAAATCCCTCAGATTCTTCTTCACAATCACTTGTTCGCAGCACAGTTTGACATGATGCCAAGGTAATGTAACACCAGAATGCTTATAAAAGGACTAAAGGTGACCCATATAATAGAAAGACAATAAAAGACAAATCTTTTTTTTTATCTCCAGGTTCATGACACTTTCAAACAAAAACTAATTGCTGAAAGCCTACAAAAATCTATACTACATCCATATGTACTATGCTTCATTTCCATGTGCATATACAAACACTTGCTAACACATTACCAGAGAAATACCCCATTAAATGCTCATTAATGACAAGAGTTCCTTTAACCATGGGCTCTCGGGACTGTAGAAAATAAACTCACTTGCTTATTTAATTTGTCCACAAACAATGCCCGATGGTGGACATACACGAATCACAGAGGGATTATGTCTTTAGTTCCATTAATTTCATGATCATTTCTACCACATTTTAAAAAATACATTGGGTTTAAGAACATTTTGTCGGAGATTATGTGATCATTACCTGTAACGATGCACAATAATAATAATAATTTTTTAAAAAAATCAGGTAACATTTTAGTTTAGGGTCCAATTCTCACTATATCCTAGTTGCTTATTATTCGTATGCATATTAATAGGATATTGGCTGATTATTGAAATTTATAATAAGGCACATATTAATGACTTATTCTGCATGATATTCTACATCCCCAATTATATTACCCAATATCTAAACTTAACAACCACCTTACAAACTATTAATAAGCAGTAGGACTTTATTGAGGCAAAAGTCATATGTGAAATCATAAGTGAAATTTATAATACTTTATCCTTTTTTTCTTTCCTTTTGTGGTGGAAATTATATGTAGCAATATAATACTCAATACTCACCTTTTGAGGTGCAAGTGAAAAGAAATTATACCTGCACACTTTCTTAAGAACATTTTGGTAATAATAACTGAGTGTGCAGTTATAATTTCTTTGGGGGAAATGATGACACAGTCATAATTTTTGGACAATGTAAAATCTAAGTAATTCTAATGTAAATCATTTTTAAATACAGATATAAATAATTTATAAATAATAAAAAATAGACGTAAATATTTTCTCATTAGATTAAATGTGGTAGGTGAGGCCAAACTCATTTTATTTTTAATTATGGTTTTTAAAATGTTCCGATTTTTTTTCTTTTCTTTTTTTTTTTTCTTTTTTTGGATGAAGGGAAAGTTAAAAGTTTGGAAGACGGTTTGAATGTTTCATATACAAAATAAATAAATAAATAAATAAATAAATAAATAAATAAATAAAGTGAATCTAACAGTTTTAATGAAATAGCATAATGTAGCCTAATATAACCCCTGCCTGAAACTTAAGAAGCAAACTCTTAAATTCTTGCTTTACTCTTATGTTCTCAAGTGGGCTTAATGGGTTATTTTAATTAAAGTCCCGTAATGAAATGGGATTAATATTATTTAGACTATTAAAATTATTAAGGAATGTCTATTAATAGGCTTTTAGCTTCTTTACCACAAGCGCTCATCATAACCATCAACCACTGAGTCAGAGGTGAATCATAACCTAACAAGTCAATAAAGGAGTTAATTCATGTTTTTAATGTTAAAACAGACCGCAATACAAGTCAAGTATAACTGATTCAGTTACTCAAAATTCTCGATTGTATTTTGAAATGAAATGATAAATTACCTTGTCGAGGACACAGCTCATCTTCTTGTGCAGACTGAACTTTAATCGCAGCTAATACACCGAAGAGATACGCGAGTGTAAATCGAGTCCACATTATTTTTCACTACCAAAAAATAATAATAATAAAAAAAAAAAAGATTTAGCCACCAAAATATGCCACATGGGTATAACGGGTACGGGTCATAATGTCAACCCGTTCGATATTTAGCCAATATCCTCGCATCAAAATTTTAGACATAAAAAAATAGCCTAACTTATAGGCTACGGGAGTTTGATTAATCTAAAACTCTTACGTTGTTATTTGAAACATTGTAGCCTAAAGATCTAGGACAATTCGTTTGACAAAAAATACTTTCAGTTGCTTCAAGATAAGATTAGCCTAAAATCCGGATCTCTTTTGTTTGTGAGTGAAGCAGAAGACTGCTGCCCCTTCCTCTCCTCCCGCACATTAGACTCTGTTACTAACAAATCCGCTCTTGCGAAACGGCGAACCACAAAGACAAACAAGTTCCTATTTGACAAGGCAAAGACCGAAAAACGAATTATTTCTGTTCGCGGTCAGGTTTACAGCTACTATACAGAGAAGTAGATGACCCAAGATCTGCTATGTCGATGAGGGTCACGGTCACCAGAATATCATGTCGAAATAGTCTACATATCAGGTGCTGCTGGATACGTTAATTATTTGCAGTTATATTAATGATTCCCTCATTTATCCCCATTTGACAGTCTGGCATAGAACACAAAATGAGAAATTTAGCTTCAAAAACTAGGGTTCGCTATTAATTGATAATTTAGTAATAATCTAAACTAGCTAATCATCTTAATAAGAAGAAACTAGAACCGAATCAGCCCAATTCGTAACTGAATCATTAAAACAACTTTTTGAAGTCTTGTGAACCGTATGAATTGATTCATTTAAAAGATTCGACTCAAACTATCAAATCCTTCACAATACGGGCATCACTATTTATCTTGTGAGAACAGAGGGTACCACATCAAAATCGTGTAGGCTACTTTAATGGTGTTGTGTCCCTTTTGAAGTTTTACATCTTCAGGTCACATTCATTGCATGGATAAGTTCACAGTACATTTCAAGACACTCAATTGAAAGTGAAAGTCATAGTTTGGAACTTTGGTGAGCAAATTAAGACAATTTTTTTTTTTTTTGTGTGCAAACTATTCCATTAGAAATTATTTATCAATTAAACATGGTTAGACAAAAGTTTTTCTTTTTTACTTGATTAAAATAATTTAATAATAATCTATTTTCCATTTTTCACTAGGCTCACTCACAACCGTAGGGTTATCAACTGTTAACTTCACAGGTCATATGGACCTTTCCATTAATTTGGCTTACACTGAAAGAGACTACTATATTCTGAATTGGCCAGTAACCTATAATTGCAATTATATGTAAATACTTTTCTGTGTGGATATAGAAAGAGATTTACATAAAAAAGAACACTCACACATTTAGCTTTTAAGGCATATAATTGTTACCCATTTAACAGTATGAGAGCTAGACCTAACTTCTACAGGGAACAGGACGAAGTATGGAGCTTATTAACTTTTCAAACATCTTCATCAGCTTTCTTGGTCTATCTCATAATAAAACACACACACCATTGCGTTTACATTCTTATTACCTAAATTCAAATACTGGTAAAGGCCACATTTAGACCAGAATGGTCAAGGTGGATTCCATTTGGTAACTCTTCAGTGAATTATTTTAATACAACTTAAAAAAAAAGTCCAGACACATTTGTTATCACAGTCCACTGGATCAATGAACCACCATTGCGTAAATGACTAGACCATCAAGGGTCCAGCAGAGCAGAGTTTGGGTTTGAATTGGACTTCTAGTCAAGTAGTCAGGGTTGGAGCACCAATATGGTGCAAAGACATGGATGAAAAAGAACGGGTCCATCCGGCAGAGTCACGTTCTCACTGAGAACTGTAGCGTTTTATCACACAGAACCGCACAAATCTTAGTGCTATTTTCAGCAGTGGGGAAAAACAGACAATTTGCACCCTTTTCTATCAGCACGTGAGACATTCCCTTGCCCAATCTGAAATGGATTTACTGACAAAAATCTTTTGACTCAGCAAAACAATATGCTGACAAAATTGTCCAAACAGTATGAGACCACAAGAAAGAAAGTCACTGTGAGATTAAAAAAACGGAAAAGATAAACCACCCTCAATATATAGAGATGAAGACAATACTTGAACTGACTGAGATTTCAAATGAAAAAGAAACAGAACTACTCAATTTGAATACAAAAACCTAAAACCTTTAGTTATCAGTAATACTTATATAATCATTACTTGAAAGTGTAATGTGTAATCAGGGCTTGACAAAAACTTTTTTTGCTTACCAGCCACTGTGGCTAGTGCTTTCCCAAAGTTACCTGCCACTCAGCATTTTCACTGGCCACAATTTTGACATTGTTACCATGGGGGAAAAACTGCTATATAGATATCTTTAATATTCTCTCATAATTTAGTGGGAGGTATATTAGGCTGCTTTAAGACTTTAAACTTTAAGACCCAACGCACTAATACTGATACACGTGCAATTTCTTTCTCAATTGTTTACGTTTACTTAAAACATAACTAACTGTGTTCACGTGGATACTCTCCAAGACAGGCATTTCGACATTAGTTTGTGTGTATTTGAATTTTTAAGCACAATAAGCAGTTACTGAGAGGCAGCTTTATGTGCGCAGACTTTGGGTGCGAGAAGAAAATCTGCGAGAATTAGTAAAATGATGCACTATCCCACAATGAAATTTAAGCCCTGTAACAGCAACAATATTCATCTGGAGCAAATGATATGAGGTGAGGAGAAGCAGATTTGTGCCAACTCGCAGTCAGAGAGATTAAGAGAGAGCGAGAAAGCGCAGCTGGTTTTGAGAAAAATCTGCAGAAAATTTGTATTGGAAGCGTTTCAGATATTTTAGTATCGATATGTATCGAAACATTTATAATTTTTAAAAACACTACAATGCACTAAGTTTATTTCAGATGCCTTTTAAAAGTCTACAATTGAAAAATGTATATTTATATAGGCCTAGAAAATTCAACCCACCAAAGTGGATAGTGGAAGTGACTGTTAGACGACACTGAAATCCACCATTTGTCGGATTGGCGGGAGTTAATGTCAAGCCCTGTGTGTAATGTATTTATATATTGTGATATGTATTGATATATTTAAGCTAAGATATTGAGAGAAATGTTAATGCATAAAAATGGGAGCTTTTTTCATGTCTCCAAATGAAAAAGAATGAATCTAAAAGTGCATTTGAGTGCAACGTAATATGTATTTAGTAAACCAGCTATAGCTGGTAGTCAGGTGTGATGTAATATCAGCCTTGACAATACTATTTAGCGGTTTGTTGTCTGATAACTTGGCTAGAATGAAAAACTCAGTCGTAAACAGCTCAAATAACACCAAATTTGTCCTTCTCACTGACAGGAAATCTGAGAATGGAAACAAAACAGGAAATGTGAGGGATGAAACTCTTTGTGCTGTCTGTATACACAGTTTGTCTACTAAATCTGCATCCATTTCCATGTGTGTTTTAAGCATGTTTACTCCTAAACTGTCTGGGGCGCTGTCTTCTCTGGTCATGTCCTCAGACAGAAACATGAGCATTCACATGAGGGTTTCCAGTTGGTCTTATCTATCTATCACTCGCCACTGGAAGTTTCTTCAGCAATGGGAGGAGGTCCAGGGCTGCTTGCACCACTGATACGAGCTCCAGAACCCCTCCACACAAACGGTGCTTCCTAGAAGAAAGAATCAATAAGAGCATTAATCAAAAATACTAAATAAATGGCCCAAATACCTACATAAAATGCACTAGAGTAAATGTAGCTCTAAAGACCCTTGAAAAGCCTGGAGACGTTGGCCCTGGAAAACTTTGCTCCGGCTAGTGAACTCCTACTATGGTCCAAGTCGATTACGTAATAGGTAGGTGTGCTCTGGGATATGTAGCTTTTCCATTTTTTTATTTTCTACCGTAAGGAAGCTCTTCAGTGTGTTCATTCTTTTACTCATGTATGACTTTGATGAACTGAAGAAATTACAATTTGTGTGGATACAATTTTAAGTATGTTACGGTATGTTGTTTTCTGTTTTCTCACCAGTCATTTGTGTTGTGTTTATTATGTTTAAAAGGAAAGTGTATCAGTTTCATATGGAACCACATTACTATTTATTCATTGTAGCTACTAACTAACACGGTATACCTTCCTACCTAAAATATGGATCAGGGAGATCACAATAACTTAATACTAATTAAATAGTGCTATTTCAGAAATCATTCAGCAAATTTAGTTGGCTCTTAAATGTCCCCTTTGCAACCACAACCAAGTTCCCATTTCCCACAATAAATACAGTACACGCAAAGTAAAGAGAGGAAAAAAATAAGTGGAAATTCCAAAACAGCTAGGCTTTCTGATTTTAAATTGATATCACATAGTCATCACATCTACCTAAACCACATCCCTAAAAGCTAATAATTTGTATATTGTGTTTTAATAAATCATTTGTAACACAAGCACACACGAATTTGGGTTCGGTAAGATTTTTGAATGTGAAAAGGTTTTGAAAGTCTCTTATGCTCAACAAGGCAGCATTTATTATTAACAAAACAACAAATAAACATATTACAACGATTTCTGAAGGATCAGTTCTTATTATGAATGTTGTGCTGCCTAATATGTTGTGATACATTTTTTTCCAGGATTATTTGATGAAGAGAAAGTTCATAAGTACAACACTTTTAAATAGAATATTTTTGTAACAAAAGTCTTTACTCTCACTTTTGATCAATGTCATCCATCCTTGCTGAATAAAACTAGAATTATTTCTTTTAAATGAATTGTTTTACTGACCCAAAACATTTAAACAATAATGTATGTATCCTAATTATAAAGTGTTTTCCTAATTATTGAGGAACTCATGGCAGTTATAAGTAGCTGAGACTACTACTATGTGCAAAAAGTGAGAAATGAAAGTGTTTTTAATAGTTCAGCTTCCTGCCGTTTTCTCCTTGGGGGAAATGTACTTTTTTTGTCAATCCACCAAATGTCAGGCGAGCCTACAGAATCAACCCTCTGTCCCGTGTAGAATAATGTCCTATATTTGTGTATGTTGGCCTGCATTGTGTGCTTGAACTTAAGATGTATATTTACCTGCACTGTTCCAGTACTAGATCCTCCCATCTCTCTGTCTGCACACCTGAGCACACCGAGAGCGATATCATCAGGGCTGTGAGTGAGGACGTGTTCACTGAATTGCAGCCCTGCCTCGCCTGCCACTGTGTCCTGACGTCCATTTACTGTGGTCAAGGGTGAGGCTTGAGAGGAGGCGGCGCTGTCATCTCCGGTGGGTGGGGTGTTCTGCACACCAGGGCTGTTTGCATGCTTTTTCCTACGAAGGGTATCGATCCAACTGCTGCTGTGGCGGGAAGCGAAAGAAGCGAGAGCCAGCGAACTCAGCCGCATATTTTTTCCCGAAGTGATCAGCTCTCCAAAGCCCTCCTGATGCGCAAACGCATAACCGGAGCGTCGGGATCCACCTCTTCCCAAGCGACCAAGAGCACTGCCACTGGCTACTCCTGAACCGCCCACTCCACGACCCGCACGCCCACCAGGCTTCCGCTTTTTCTGCAGCACAAGTTGAGTGTAGCGCACCTGCAGAAAGAGATTGAGAATGTAATAAGGGGCGAGGATGAGTGTAGGGGATTACCCGAAACTACAAAATACGTCAAACCTACTGATGTGAAACAAACATGATATAAGCAATGAATCAGAATATGCAATAGTCAACCAACCTTAACCATCCAATACACAGTTTATTTAGTCTTTATGTTTTACATTTATATTTGTGTTTATATAGATATAATATGTATATAAAGTAAAACGAACATTAATTAAAAAAGATTATATCCATAATAATTACTAACATATATTTTTACATAAAAAAAAAACTCTTTCACTCACACGAACACCAATGCAAATAACCACATGCAAAGAAGCACAATCAACACAATTCACTAGGGATTTACTCAATGATCACATAGAAAATTGAGAATGTTTATTAAATATAATTCTTTTAAGACAGATCTTTGTTGTGATATACTCATAATGAATGTTTGGTTGACTATAAACATAAAATGTGTAATAAAAACACATTAAAATGTGGCGTAAGATTTAGGCCAGACAAACTACTGTCACACGCACACTTACGGTATCTGAGAGCTGAGGTTTAAGATCCAGTTTGAGAAAGCGGAACGCAAGCACTGGAGCAATGCAGATGATGGTAGCCAGAGCAATAGTCAACCAAACCACTGGCTGTCCGAGTGTGTTGTGGGCACTTCCTGTGGTATATTAACACATGGTATGCACACAAACACAAAATAAGCAACAAATATTTACACCAAACGCACACAAACATTTTAAACAAGATGAAATAAGAACAAAATATAATTTATAAATCACACAATTGAAAATCCATGTGTATTTAAAGATAATATTTCTTTTTAGAACATTTACTTTTCATTGTATATTAATTATTATTTTTTTGTTAAATGTATGTTTACATGTTATTTTTTTTTTTAGGAAAACTATTTTTTTTACAGTTTTGTTGTGCCACTTACTTGACTGCCAAAGGAAATTTAGGATTTTTTTTTTATGTTTTTGAAAGAAGTCTCTTATGCTTACAAGGCTGCTTTTATTTGATCCGAAATAAAGTAAAAATACAGGGATATTTTTTAATAAATTGTATGTATTTTAATATACTTAAAGTGTAATTTATTCCTGTGGTGTTAAGCTGAGTTTTCAGCATCATCATTACTCCAGTGTCACATGATCCTTCAGAAATCATTCTAATATGCTCAAGAAACATGTTTTATTATAAACAATATTGAAAACAGCTAAATATTTTTGTGGGAACTATACTTTTTCAGGAGTATTTGATAAAGTTCAAAAGAACAGTATTTACATGATAGATTTTTAACAAATGTATTAATAATTAAATGAATTAGCACTAATGTGTTCTTGCAGAACAAAAGTATGAAAAAAAAAAAAATCAAAAACGTAATGACTGCAAACTTTTGTATGGTAGTGTATCCATAAACAGTTATTTTTGTTTAAGAGCAATGAATGTTTCCAGATGTATTGGCTGATAAGTTGTGCTTGTGACACATACTGTATAGACGTTATCAAATGAGGGTTTCTGTTCAAGATTTCTGTTGGGCCAAACAGTGCTGACTCACCAAGGAAATGGAACTGCTTGGGAAAGATGCTGAACAGGACGCTGGAGTGCATAGCGAAGAGGATAGTGAAGTAGGTACCCAAAGAGCCCCATATAAAGAAGTGATTTATAGCAGTCCAATAACCCGTGTCCAGAGCAATCTATAAGGAAACAAAAAGCTTCAGCCATTCAAAATAGTTACAAAATGTATTGTCACAGTACACAGCATTAAACATCTGCTAACCAACCATATATACATTCAGAAGCACTACTTGGGTGTGGATGTTTAATCTTAAACAGCTTTACCACATTGACTCACTTGGACGCTGACAACGATGACAAGGGCCGTTGCAGTAGTTACTGCAAAAGTTTGGTAGTCTGCCAGTGGGACTCCATTGCTCTGTGTGGCGTAAGAGAGAACGCCGTACGGAATGAAGAACAGAACCACGGAAGTGTAGATTCCTTGTGCGATACAGATAAAGAACTCTCGCTTGTTGAACAGCAAGTTCAGCTGGCCCGGCTCATACAGCTTTGGATACTCTAAACTCCTCTGTTCAGGAACATCCTGAATTAGATAAAGTTTGAGGTGGAAGTGAGTTTCTTATCAAATGCACAAAAAAAAAAAAATTTATATACGTTTTCTGTTTCTTACCTGATCAAAGATGCCCATGGCTAACACCGGCAGGGATGTGTATACGATATTGTAGAGAGTGATGAAGTATTGGTCATAGACAGTCTAAATCAAAGAAAACACAGTAAACCGAGGTCATGACATCACCTCATAAATAGCTTTTTTTTTGATCCTCAGAATGAATCTCTCACCTGTGCTGAGAACCCACAGAAGAACCCGAACCAGAAGTGCACCATAGTGAAGGCAAAGTTCTTGTAGAAGAAGTAACAGAGAAAACGGCACATGCGCAGATAGGACCAGCGTCCGTGTACCAGCAAAAGTCGCTGCAGGAAACGGAACTGGGAAAATGAGTAATCGGATGCAAGGACGGCCTGGATCCCCTCCTGACCGCTGATGCCCACGCCAATGTGAGCCGCTAAAGAAGGAGAAAGAGACACAAGTTCAATTAAGACCTTTAAGTAGCTTTTATAAACGTGTCTTTGAGGAAAAAAATATTACTGATGTGCATTGTACATATTTTAAGATATCTCAGTGCAAGTTGCTTTCAGTTAAAACAGTTCAAATACGCATTTTAGTCCGGGACTAGATTCAAGCCTTGTCTATGCAATCATGCACTAATCTTCCCTTTTTAAGATTTGGAGACTTATAAATATCCAAATATCCAATTCAATCAGTCAACCAACCAGCATTTCAAATGAGTAATAGGCTATTATCTAATTTGTTAAATGAGTAAAACAATGATTGCTAAAAACATACTGAGTATCTCAAGTTACAAAGTTAATTCTGACACCAGTACAACTAATTCTTTCCAAATGTTTCCACCCACTTGAGGTCCCCTAGGGGTCCCTGGAGACCGGTTAAAAAACCCCCTGCTCTTGGGTATTAGCTCTCTGAAGTAACACTCCAAATGTTGGGTTAAGCCAGATAAACTAATGCCTGAATCTCAATTTTACTAAAACCATAGATTTGGGACAGTCCCAAGTGATATAAATCAGTCTAAATAACATTAAAACTACAGGGAACATTCATGTGAAGAACAAATCTTTTAACTTGACACTTGACTGCTACACACCAGCAGAATCCCCTGAACACAACACACCCAACAGAAGCAAACAAACAGAAGATGAAACATTGGAAGAACTTGTTTGTGCGTGTGTAAATGTTATTGAGTAGGTACAGCACAGGATGGTGCAAAAAGATTTAGACATAAACCACATCCTCCACATCTCGTTATCCATGTTCACAGCAGCCTTTTGAAATATAGTTGTGACACCGTGAGAGCCCAAGGACAGAGTTTGGAGATGTTTTTGCTCAGTCGAAGGAAGTAACACAACCACATACATCAACAACAAACTAAACGAAGGAACGGACATCACTAATTTGGTTTCTCTGGAGCATCTTTACACAATCTAAAAAAAGGAACTTAAACTCATTAAAAATGTTGAAATCTTGACCGGTTTGTTCTTTACTAAAAATGTTAAATCAGAATCCATACCAAAAAAAAAAAAAAAAAAAAAAAAACACAAAACAAGATTATGTAGATTAAAACACACACTGTACTTTACCTGTAATGTGCATCATATATGAGCCTAAGTGAATGCAATTAAAAAGGAAATTCATTTTTTTAAACTGAACAAAACTTAAGCTTAAAATGTATAATGATAATCATCATTATATTTCTATAATATATACACTACAGTTCTAAAGTTTGAGGTCATTACGATTATTTAAAAAAAAATATGCTTCTTTTCAGCAAGGAGGTAATAAATAGATAAAATTTTGTAAAAAAAAATAAAATAAAAAAATAAAGTAGTTATTCATCACATAATCCTGAAAAAAAAAATGTATCACGGTTTCCACAAAAATATTACGCAGCACAACTGTTTTCAATACTGATACTACTATGAAATGTTTCTTGAGCAGCAATTCAGCATATATTGTATGAATGATTTCTGAAGGATCATGTGACATGATGCTGAAATTTCAGCTTCGCTATCACAGGAATAAATTACATTTTAAATATTAAAACAGAAAATATTTATGTTAAAATGAAATTACTTGTCAAAATATGACTGTTTTTGCTGTTTTTGATTAAAAAAAAATCTTTAAAAAAATTAAGAATCTTACAGACCCCAAACTTTTGAAAATAGTAATGTGAAAATAGTCAAGTGTATTTTTTAAAAAAAGACAATAATAATTGCATTATATTATTGAGATTTTGATTTTGACAGTTACAGTTACTATTTCAACATTGATTTGTAATGTATACAGAATATTTGTTATTTACAGCCTTAACCTAGTAATTTGACCCGGAGAACCCTAATATTTGCACATCAAAAACAAATCAGCTGTCAAAAAGATTCAATGCCCCGACAAAGACTTCAAGAGCTGAACATGCCTGCTTATATCTGTTTTCGCTTACTCTTTATCATGCTGACGTCATTGGCTCCATCTCCGATAGCGAGCGTGACAGCCTTCTTATGCCGTTTAACCAGCTCCACCACCAGAGCTTTCTGAAGAGGGGTCACTCTGCAGCAGATCACTGCTCGACAAGCACACGCTGTCTCCAAAAACTCACGCTCCATATCTGCTTCCAGTGCATGAGCCTGACCAAGAAAGACAGGGAGATATTTGTTAAAAAAAAATCATTAAAACAGCTTAAGCCCGTTTGCTAGTCCAGCCATATCTCTTCTATCTGAACTAAAATAAATACCATTTATTAGATTTTTAAAAATGGGATAGTTCATATTTTTTCTGAATTAAACCAGTCTTGTTTTGATAACTAAAACTATTAAAATAGATTTTTTTTAAATACTAAAATAAAACAAATATTAGATGAAAAACTAAAAAAAACCTGAAATGTTGCTATAAATGATTGGGATATTGGCTGTTTATTAGTACTTAAAAAACACATACGGTGTAAATGCAGTATCCGGCATGACCATATTCTACATCCCTGAAATTTACCCAATAACTAAACTTAACAACTACCTTGCTTACTATTAAGAAGCAGTAATTAGGAGTTTAATGCTAGCAAAAGTCATAGTTAATAGTTGGTTAATAGTGAGAACTGAACCCTAATCTAAAGTGTGACCTGTTGAAGTACTAAAATGACACTTAAAGGAGAAATCCAGCGCAAAATGAACCTTTGGTCTAATAAAACATCGGTACCTAATCAATCGTTCTCTGAGATTTGTTTTCATGATAATCGAATGTAAAGTCAAGAGTTTTATCTATAAAAACTGTTTAGCGTATAACGCTAATAATGGGGGCATTTACTAAGTAAAAAGAAATCGCAAGTTAATACCACTTAGCAAGGCTCAAAATAGCCCCACACTAACGCAGTAACATAATGAGGGTCCATACATGCAAAACGAAGCATTGAGGACTTTGTAAGTGTACAGATCGTTTAATAAGAAGATACTTAATAAAGACAGTTCACTTCGTGTATACAGACAGGAGCCATCTTGGAAAATACAATAGTCTCGATAAGTTCGTGGTTTGACTTGTCGTGTCTGTTTTCCAAGATTGCTCCTGTTCAAGAGGGTATTTACATGAAAACTTTTTATGTGTTTTGGCTGTTCATATATACGACAACTCTGTTTTGGATGGCCTGAAAACGCAAACGTTTGAAAACATATTTCAATGTGCATTTTTTTGAAAACGATACCATTATAGACTCTGTGTACATTAAAAAAAAAAACCCTTATGGCTCATTTCTTCGAATTACATCAATGAATGCAACTCCCACCTACCAAACTGTGTCCACTGATGACGAGGGCAAACTCTCCACTGATTGACTCCAATAATGAGGAGGGCGGAGCCTGAGGAGCAGCACCACCTCCACATCCATTTCCAAAGGCACATGCACTACCCAATCCCTGAGCTTCAACTTCCTTCCCTCCATCTCTGGTGTGTGCTGACTCCAGCATTCGTGTTCTTGCTTTCCTAAAAAAAAAATACACAGAACAAAACAGAAAGACAAAATGAAAACGCCTTCTGTGAAAAATTAGCATATTTTCATATTTCATGGATTGATGGATGGTTCAGCATTTTACCTCAGTTCTTCGCGTACACTTTGGACAGTGTGTCCATTCACAATAAAGATCTCCGTCATGTCATCCGTCAGCATCTTACAGGAATAACCAATATTCACAGCAGTTTCTATCAAAAAGGGTGAAAAGGACTCATTCAAGTTGTAATTATGTCAAGTAAATGATACCACTCGTGGCCAGTTCGCTAGACGTTAGAATCCGATGCAGTTCTTACCCTGTTTGTCTCCAGTGAGCACCCAGACCTTGATGTTTGCCAGGGAGAGAATGGCAATGGTTTCAGGAACACCCTCTTGCAGTTTATCTTCTACAGCTGTGGCTCCCAACAACTATAACAAGTATTGATATTAATCACCCCCCCAAAATAGTATGGAAAACAAAACATAAGGAATCGGACACAAAAACATACCATCATGTCCTGTTCGATCTCCTCATAGGCAGCAGCCAGCCGGTCGTCCCTGCAGTCCGTGGCCTTATCAGCTCCACGGAAACGCTCTGACCACTCCTCCCACTGCTCCTCAGACAGATCCCGATAGGCCACTGCGAGCGTCCGTAACCCGTCACCTGCATACTCCTACATAAACACACATACACAAACCTCCCACATCAGCTCAAGTTTATAATTAAGGTGAATGCATGTTTTTAATTTGTTTTTTTGTAAAAACCATTCGATATAGATAAACTATTTTTTTTTTTTTTACATTTTGACACACACACAGCACCTTTCAAATGTTTGGAGTCGATACTTTTTTTTTTGTGGTTTTTGAAAGAACTTGATCTTATGCTCACCAAGTCTGAATTTACTTGATCAAAAATAAATACAGTTAAAAATAGTAATATTGTGAATATTATTAAAATATAAAAGTAAAAAATATTATTAAAACATAAAAGGGAATATTATTAAAATATAAAAGTATACAAGTTTATAAAAATCAGTACTGATTTTTTTTTTTAATGTAATTTATTCCTGTGATGGTAAACTCTGAATTAGCAGCATCCTTACTTTAGTCTTCAGTGTCACATGATCCTTCAGAAATCATTCTAATATGATAATGTGTTGCTCAAGAAACATTTCTTATTATTATCAATGTTGAAAACAGTTTGAAAACAAATATTTTTATGGAAACCATGACATATACAGTATGTTTTTTTTTTATAAGTCTTTGATGACTAGAAGCTCAAAAAAACAGCATTTAATATATTTCTACTTTTGGTAACAAAGAAATTAATAACCCCTACTTAGTGATAGCCTAAATTACATTTTCAAACCTGTTACTTGCAACCTTATTTTATTAATTACACATACTTCTTATTTATCTTTTTACATTCCATCTATTATTGTTTGTTTGCTAGACAAATATGTAAATCACAACAATAGCTCATATAATCTTAGTAACAGTGCAACTAATAGATTTTCAATACTAAAATATCCACAAGAGGGCTCTGTTGTTTAGTCTATAAAGAGAGTAGCAGACAGTTGGCTTCTCTCTAATTTTAGGACTTGATATTGAATAAAAACAATCAAGATAACAAACAAAGCGAACAAGAAAACACAAAATAAATGCAAAAATGCAAACACTCACGTTGAGATGATCTGAAGTGATATTCATTATTTCATGGTTGCAAGAATGAAGTCTCTCGAAAAGCACAGTGTCCGCCCCCTTACAGTACAGACGAATACGGCCTTCTGGATTTCTCACTGAGACACACGCACACACATACACATACATATTGGGTTTCCATGTTTTAATGGGAAATATATATATATATATATATATTACTGTACAAACTGTATATTCTATCCCCTAACCTTAAACCTACCCACCACAGAAATTTTCTGCATTTTTACATTTTCAAAAAAACATCACTTGCTATGATTTATATGCTGTTTACCTCATAGAGATAAAACATATATCCACAAAGATTTGAGATATTGCCATCTTTGTGGGGATATTTTGTTCCTATAACTTAGGGTATACAGTACCACCCTCCACACATACATTAAATTATCAACTGTGCTTTTTCATACCCATTTGGCAAATAGTGACAAATTGATTAAGAGCAAATTCTGCAGTGCACTCAATAAATCTCTCACTTCTCCATGTAAACAGACCAAATGAACATAAATAACAATATGCAAACAAAAATGAAATGCCTGCAGCAATGTAAGCACCACTTACCCAAACGTATGGGCCATAATTCAGCATTATAAGAGTGTATATGGCACGCACAACACTTTCTGCATTGAATTTAGCACTTATTTACAATGCTTGGCAGGACAGTATTTAGGCTGTATCAAGATTTCTCAGTCCCGAGGGAATTTTACTGGCTCTTTCATGCTTGCACAGAACTAAACCATCTGACATTACAGCCTAAACAATGTTTAAAAACTGTACACTCTGGAGTTTGCCACAGTTAACTGCACAATAAAGTGTTATTTATGTACATACTTAGTTATAGTTGGGGCTCAAAAGTTAATTAAATCTGACAGAACTTCTCTTTTAAAATAATTGTAAGTGGCAACTCTTTCATTTTTGGGATATATTGCATACTGTGCTTTTTACAAACATACCCAGACGGCAACAGTTTCGGCCCAGATCCGGGCCACATCTGGTAAATATAGATTCAACGCGTACCAGTGGGCGGGATCTGTGCCGACATTTACATTTTTGTTACGTAAAATGCAGGAATGAGTGTGCGTGTGCTTGTGTTACCTATAACAGACATTCTTTTGCGGATGTTATTGAAGTCCAGGATGGCGAGGAGCGTGTATGTGACCGCTTTGCCGAGCTCTTGTGTGGTGACTGTGCTGGGTGTGCGAGAGCGGAAGACAAAGCCAAAGTTACGTGCAGCTGTTACTAACGCCCCTTCATCTGGAGATTGAGCCTTATACACCAACTCTCCTTTAGGAAGTGAAAGACAGAGACAATAAGCAAGGAGCACAGGAGGACAGATAATGTAATGAGATATAATAATCATATTACAATCCAGAATGGCTCCATCCTAACAATATTAAAGTCAACAGCTTCCTTATTTAACCTTATTTAAACTCTTCCATTGGATGAAATAACTCTCTGAGTCAGGCAGATAATCGCCCAGATAAAATGTCGTAGATGCTTACCTACGCTCTTCTCTTCGCTCATGACAGTGTGGCAGAGAGACAAGACCCGGAAGAATTCATGCACTGCTGGTTCTCCCACCATCACTGCCTCTAGCAGAGACTGGTCGTAGAAACAGAAGCCTTGGTCTGCTAAAGGGTTCCAAGCACTGAAGTCCAGGGGCTGGACCCTCTGAGAAAAACACATATGTTTGCTCTTTCTGTGCAGAAATATTTTAACAATGTAATTCTACTAAATTGATCTGGATTGCACTGACCTTTTGCTGTGTACCCAGAATATCCAAAACCTCACCTGTGAAACAAGAGACAGACTGACTTGAGATTTGTTACACAAATCTAATCCAGTATAAAATGTCTGTGCATGTCACTATTGTAAGGGATATGTGAGTTCTGGTTTGTTTTGTCACGTGTAATCTTGCCTGTGTTTGATTTGTATTGTTTTTGCATGTGTTTGTCTTCTATGTTTTGAGTTAGTTTCTATGGTGATTACGTAAGCGTCTGTTTAATTCTATGCACCTGTACTCGATTTTCATTTGATTAGTTTGCTCGGATATATATTAAGAACATCATGTGTTGCTTCAGTTCTTTGTGTGATCTCATATTTAAGGTTGATTCTGTTTTTTTAAGTGTTCTTATTTATTGTTAATTGTTTATTGTAAATTCTTTATATATTTGACTTTTAAACAATCATTTCTATTAGTTTATTTAAATGTCTATAACCAGTAAAGTGCAATATCATACAAATACATTATTTTTTTTTGCAAATCTGCAACACTGTTACTTGCAATGCAGCCAAGCCATCTTAAGGCGGGCATACACTGTGCGATGTCTGTGCGATTTCAGCAAGGTACCTACTCACACTGAACAAGTAAATCGCATGCGATGCAAAGCCAAAGTTCAGGATTTATGTGCTCACACTGTACGGTCCGATCGTCGAGCTGCGACTTCACTGCTCACACTATACGTGTAATATCTGCGATAACCCCCTGGATTGCGCCTATTTACGTGTATGTATGATGTATCCAGAGATATTGTCAAAACAAGCATCTGCTATCAGTATCAAGATGATTTAGTATTTTTCAATTTATGCATTTAATTATTATCATTATTATTATTATTATATTATCATTATTAGGGGAGGCCTATAGGCTAATTTTACTATTAAATTGATCCGCTATTATAATTAATTTGCCACGCAATATTTTCACAGCACATAACCAACGTGCTGTGAGGATAATAAAATATTAATCTTACTCCTCATTAAAAATTGTCTAAAACATTTAGGTCGATTACAATGAATTATATACGTATAAAATAACTATTAACAGTCTATAATATGTCCGAACATTGCCATTATTAATCATCAATGAAAATTAAAAACAGGTTTATTTCAAAAACATTGTTTGACAAAATAATAAAAGAGGTGTTACATATCAGGTGGCTTGAAGACGGTAGGTAATATTATCCATTTTGCAACACGAACTGGAGGTAAGCAACAGTAATTTGTAGCTCGTTTTTATTTTAATTTTATTTTTGCTGCAGATGAAATGGTAAACTTCTGTTTTCGCGCAGGTGCAGTGAGGTTTAGGGCAATCGGTTCGTAGCTTTGCTTCAACTGTGCGATGTAGTCACGAGGAGCGACCAAAATTTCTGACATGCCAGAAATTCATCCGACCATCCGATTGTCGATCGTGAGAGGTTAATCGCCTCTCGTTTCTCCCTGTACACTGCACGAACACTGCACGACAAACGACGCACGACAAAGCTGAAAATCGGTCCGACACGAAAATGAGTCGCACGAGTCAGAATTCAGCTCAAAATCGGACGAAAATCGCACAGTGTATGCCCGCCTTTAGTAGAGCTCCACAATTAATTGTTAAAAGACGGTGATCTCAATTCTAAATGACAACGATTCATCTGTATCTATTTAACCTTTGAGAAAATAACAACGCTGACCCAGAGAGTCATGTGTAAGTATAAAACAGCTTTACAAACGGTCTTTTCAAGCACAGTTTTGTTATTTCTGTGTTACAAATATTTATATTATAACACTGATATAGACATCAGTATTCATATCTGAACTACTGTATAAAACTTTTATCCCAGCGCTTCTGTTATAATATAAATATTTCTTTTACACGAAGAGATCAAAATCACCCTTTGAATAAAACTGGGCACTTCAAATAACGATTGTTTCAATTATATTGTTACACCAGCAGATGGTGACAAGTGACTTTTATTCATTCAGGAGATTCTTTAAAAATGCTGATTCATCCAGTACTGAAACAAGTGAAGTATTTATAAATGAGTCACTGAATCATTCATTTAAACCAATAATTAATTCAGATGAATTAAACCTCATAAATTGACTGCAGCAAGTAAAGTTTTGTCAGAACATCTAGTAAATTACAGGTTGTTTTGTTTAGTTGTCTGATCAGAATCATGACATCTGTGTTATTTGTTAAGTAGTGGTGTACAAGCAAGGTGACGCACGATATAACCCCCTTCAAGATGTTACAAGACTGATACTGTGAAAATGACCAGTTGTTTGCACATTATACCTCTGTTATAACTGTCAGCAGTGTGTGTTCCTCACCATATGTATGACCGTTGATGGAGCACTTTTTGAAGGTCATGATGTTCTGGGTGAGGGTTCCTGTCTTGTCACTGAAGATGTACTCCACCTGTCCCAGCTCTTCATTAAGTGTGGTGGTCCGGGCCTCTGCTGCTGTGTTACTACGACTGCAGAACATCCGCCGGTCCCAATTAATGAAGTAACTATGACCCAGACGAATCACCTCCACACTACGATATTTAGACAGATGGACAGAGAAATAGATGAAGGGTTATCATACCAAAATGCAAATGTTGCGTGATTTCCTGTAGAAACACTCAAAATGACTACAGACCTCCAACACATGGAAACTCACAACAAAACATAACAGACACAAATATGTACACCGAATTTTACAGACATAGGTTATTTAGTGTGCAGCTGAGACAGACAGTAGCACAACAATCTGCCAGACCATTAAAATAAGATTTAATCATAATAATTAGAAGCTTTACAAATCTTTTATTTAAAAATGCACAAACAGACTATGGGTATGTGTGTCATGCCATGGTGCTGCTCAGTGCCACGCCGCAGTTCTTCCTGTATGAGTCTGCACCGGTCAGAGGTGGGTTACATTCACAGAATTAGCGCTCATTCAGAGAGCTGGTTCAGAAGGGTTCGGATCAGGACTTTAGTGGTGTTATATGGACTATGTTATACGGGAGGCTGTTGTTATGTCAGAGAGAGAAAAAAGGGGAAGTCTATAGGAACTATCTCTCTTACCTGTTAGGGAAAGCCTAGGGAAACATGAAGACAACAACAACAACAAAAAAAATCTAAATAAAATAAATAGAATGCATAAAGCATGTATCAAGCATAAAATGAACTGAAGCTAATACTAAAAAGTCTAAATAAATAGATTAAATTGGCATTTTGTCCTGAATATGATACATTTTTGGTGTCTCAAGACTTTTTCCTTGTAGACAGCATCTAATGACTACAATCATGTATTATTTATAATAGTAGTGTTATTAATGTTTTAAATTAGCTTTTGTTATATATTTTTTTTCTTTTTAAGTTTATTCTTTTTGTAATTTTATTATGTTTTATTTAAAATATTACTGTTTAGGTTTAACTTATTTTTATTTCAGTTTTAGTTTTACTTTAATTTTAATGGTTCAACTTAAACTTATTTCAGTTAGTTGCTAAATTTTCTGTCTAATATTTATATTTTAGTTTTAACATTTTTTTTTTAAATAGTTTTAGTTACAGTACAGGTAATAACCCTGATACAACAACAAATAATTGTAGCAAAAAAATGTAATAACTAGTTTGAATGACTAGTTTGAATGATTTTCTATAAAATAAAAAGAGAATAAAACAGCTTAAATAAAAAGCTTAAGCACCACTTTCCACTGACCATTTGTTTAAAACATTTTTGTGTTTTTTTTAGGTCATTTCCATTTCCAGATTATTCACAATTTTCTCTCTTCATTACATCCTTCATCTCTCCACATCATGCTCTCTCTCACCTGACATAGAGAGAGATGGGCACGACTGTGTTGAGGATGATGACATAGGACCAGAAGGACAGGAAGGCTGAGAACAGGAAGTTGTCCACAGGAGGATCCCAAGGAAGGAAACTTTGGAACAGAGCACCCACTTCTTTCTCCCAAACGGCATTTCCTATGGCCAAGATCACGCCCATACACACCAGGAACCCAAAAATCTGAGCAGGGGAAAATTATATACATGGAAACTGGATTCATTTTTAAACCCTGAGTGTGCCTAAAGTATTTACACTCAAATATAACTCATTTGCAGAATATGTGTGGCCTCAAATCTTTACACATTCAGCAGAGGTTTGTAGGAGAGTGTGTGTTTGTCAACAGTTTCTTCTCACCCAGAGCACCAGTGTATTCATCAATCTGTCTATACTGGTCCGCTTGAACTTAGTCCGTCCACTGTTCTGCATCAGCTTGGTGTCAGGACCTGAGATGTAACATTATGACAGGTTAAAACGAAAAATAAATCACACACACACAGACAGACAAACAGACACACCAACCTGCGAATATAACGAGGCCATAGCAGCTCTCTGTGTTGCGCAGTACGCAGCCTCGGAGCAGCATGTTCTGGTTGCTGAGGGGGTATTTACAGTCTTTCCAATACAGAGTCCCACAGAAACGATCGAGCTTGTTGTTTGGAGGCTCACACACCACTTCTCCTGTAGATACACACACCGCAAGAAAGATGAAAAAATGAGGTCACACATAAGGAAAATATTGAAATTTTATGTAATATGCGTCATGACCAACTGTTCAGCATTCTGGACCTTGGTACTATTGTAAGCTTTGGATTTTTTTTATTGTTGTTTAAAAACAGGAAGCGTGGGTGGTCTGTGCTGATACAGGTTTGATGATGTGAGAGAGTGTGTGTAGCAGAAAACTGCAAAGAAATGTTGCTGAGAATCACATCTCACTTTGACTCGGTACATCTTTCCTCTCTCTCTTTTTCCAGTACACCAACTCGCAATGAGGGAAAACAGTTGCGTAATTTTTGCACATTTACACATTTATTTTATTTAACTATACAATTTTATTTTATTTTTCATGGTAAGCAATTCATCAAATGTTGGTGCAGTGGTGCTATAGTAACGTTTGCTCTATCACTGCAGTCTGCTGCATCTTACACAATCAAGCTTGAACCATTCAGCACAGATTTGGATGAGTTTGTGCTGTTAACTGATCTGCATAATTCCTTTAGTAAATCTGCTAATACAACACAGACAGTGCATGCAAATTAACAGTATCAGTGAGTGCGGTTCATACTGGAATACCCCTCTGAAAATATGCAATTCCTTTTTTGCCTTTCTATTCTTGTTCCATGCACTTCTGCAAATCTGAAACATACTGTACACAAACATGTTCTCTCGTTTATCAGTTCTAGAGGTGGGAGTAAGTCACTAAATGCAAGCCTCACGTCAAGTCCAAGTCTTAACATTGCAAGTCAAAATCAAGTCAAGTCATTCCATTGTAAGGGTCAAGTCAAGTCAAGTCAAGACATACTCTTTGTCAAGTCAAGTCAAGTCAAATCGCAACTTAGTCATCAAGTCATACCAAGACGGACACAGGTTAGTTTTACACATTTTTAACTCTGGGACTTTTAATACTATATATAAGACACATAGGGCTGATGGGTTACAAAAATAAATAAATGCTAATAAATGCTCTAAAATAAAAATAAATTAAATGAAGACAAGTAATCAAGAATAATACAACTTTTCCCATCTTGTAAAAATAAATAAATAAATAAATAAAAAGATATTCCATCCTAAATTAGTACTGTATGCCAACGTTTGTATGTCCTCACTCTAAATATCCAATTGATTTGATCCCATGACACAAAATATTATATGGAAATTTTAAGAAAACAAATCTAATCATTTAAATGATTTAAATCCGGCTATTTTTTAATACGTGTGTCGTTATAATTGACATTCTCAAATACTTTCTACATTACTTTCTCCCGCCCGCAACATTTATGTTTCGTCCCGCTCCCGCCCGCAAAAAGACTTTTTTCTGTACCTCCAAATACTTAAGTTAGCCCACGTGTCGCCACCATACACATCAGCATAAATGCTCCTGATAAATTATTTGTTACATTACCGCCTGCGCTCTCTCTAATGATGTATAAAAAAAGTAAGTAGGCACAAGTCTAAAGTCACAAAGAGCAAGTCTAAAGTCAAGTCGAGTCTTTCCAGAGATCTAGTCAAGTAAGTCTCAAGTCCAGAAAATTGCAACTTGAGTCTGACTCGAATCAAGTCATATGACTCGAGTCTCCCACCTCTGATCAGTTCACAAGATTGCTTAACTCTCTCTTAGTCTTACTAATTCTGTCCCACTTCCACTCTCACAAACTTTCACATCTAACTGGAGCACATTCAATACCAAATAACATACCATCAAACTGGGCCAGGTTATTTGGATATCCTAGCTCTGAGGTAACAGACAGAGACTGGCGCACCTTCATGTTGGTCTCACTGTGGGAGATAAATGAAGACATTAACAATTTTTTTTTTTGTATTGAGATACACTGGAAATATGAACTCAAAAGGACAAATTCAAGAAATAAACACAGTCTTACCCATCCAGTTCTGCAGTTTCAATGTAACAGAGGCCATGTGGTTCACTGCTGGACAACAGGAGCAGGTCAGCCTGCAACACATTTGCAGTATACAGATGGGTTATCATTATTAGCTAAAATTAAAACTGTTAAAACATTTTTTTTCAATAAAAATAATGCTAAAATAAAAGTTATTCCATTCAGTAGCCAAGACAACATTTCTAATTTTCATTTTGTCAATTTGAAACACTAAAATTACTAACTGGAAAGAAAATAAATAAAAACTAAAAATGTAATAAAAAGTAATTAACCTAAATACAGATATTTAAGAGAAAAAAAAACCCTAATAATAATAATAATAATAATAATAATAATAACAAAAGCAAATAACAAAATGACTAAAAATGTAATTAAATTAAAACTTAATTAAAAATATAAAAATAAAAGCCATTTCAAAATATCAATAAAAAATACAATAGAATATAAATATTACTAAAATAACACTGGCATACAGTGAGATCAAAACTGCAATTAGCATGTTAAAAAGACGTCCAAGCTGCTGTTTATCCTCTAGAGACAGAGTTGCATAACCAGCAGCATAATCAGCAAATCAGACCTTGGCAACTGGATCAATATCACAGTGCAGTATTCAAGAGCAAATGCATCAGACATAGTACGTGTGCCTACATGACTCTGAATTACTAAATGCAATGTCTGGGAAGCTGAGCTAGCAAAGTGTCTTTTTAATTCCATAAACCATGTTTACTGAATTAATGTCATGAAGGACTATAGAGGAAAACTCACAGCCACAAACTGATTGTTCTCCAGTTTGATGATGTCACCCACTCTGACATTCAACCATTTCTCATTCTGAAGACTGAGAAAGTGAAAAAAGTGCTTTGTGATTGTTGGACAAATTATATATAATTGTTGTAATGTATATATATATATATATATATATATATATATATATATATATATATACACAGTATATATATATATATATATATATATATACACAGTATATATATATATATATATATATATATTACATTACAATACAATATACAATATCACACACACATACATTTTGTGAATAAAAGTAATATTACTTTACAAATTAAAATATAAAATACAAACTTTTTTATGTTGTGAACATTAACTACATTGTGCGCAACAGCTCAGACACAGATTTATATTTTCTTAGTATATTTTCTTGTAAACACAATGTAAGAGGAAGTGTGTATATTAAAATAAGACTTACATGCCACCGATGAGGACCTGAGACTGACGGTTATTCACCTGTTTGTCACTCTTGTGACGAAACTGTGGGAGAAACAGATGTGTGTGAAAAGTGTGTCTGACTGTTTTTTTTTTCGTGAGGAAGTAGTGGTGTTTAAAGGTGCATTGCACAACTTTCATGTTAAAAATACCCGTTTTTCGAACCCATACATGCTTAAACAATTGCCTGATAGGCTGAATGAGGGATTCGGTACGGAATTTGAGACTGGGCGTGACGTCATGCTCACCTGGCTGTGTCTGGCAGGTTTGTGTATTCGCAGCTATCAGCGAAGACAACTCAAGCGACAAAACTTTAGTCAACGTTCGACAAAAGTAGAAGATGGATTCAAAGAGACCGGTGATAGTTCATTCCAAACCCCAACGCAATCTCCACGTAAGACAAAGTAAAAAAAACTTTTGTCAAGTGCCAGGCATCGGAATAAGACGAGAGTCAACATCGGGAAGGCTTTCAACAAATGGAGAGATCTCCGGTCTGCTCTAGGGCTCAAACGGGATCCTATACAAAGTAATAACTTGTATTGTTCATGAACGTGTTTCCATAATAATACAATCATAAGTGGATACAGTAAGCACATAAAACAGTTCAACATGGAGATGGAAACAAAAACCGAAGTTTTCTACTACCCCCGTTTTCTCCTTACACATAAGTGTGTAATTTACTCAAATGCCTTTCCTTTGATATATTTAAAATGACTTGCAGATTTATAACTTTATTACCTCTGAAGACATTATGACTGTAACAAAAGATTTGTGCAGCTGATGCTCCTTTTGTTATGAACAGCTCGTGCAAGCGTGCGTGTGCATGTGGTCCATGAGCGTGCACACCTCTGGTTGCAGTTTCGCATGTTGCCAGAGGGGGCATAGTTCTGCAAAAACTCAGACACTTGTGCAATGCACCTTTAAGGTGATGTTATGAGTCTTAGAATATTTCTGTGAGGAGGGGAGTTTGGAAGTTACAGTACGTTACAGTATGCGTGTATGCGAGACTCACATAGTCATCGGTGGCATCTTTGACTGCAGTGATGCTCAGCACCAGCACTAAAGGCACAATAGTGGTGAACCAGGACAATGAGGAAATCTGTGGAATCAACTGAGACAAAAACATACAATTCATTTTCGGTATGTCTAGAATTAAAGTTAACGGGTTTCCATGTGCTGCTAATTGCAGGTTTTAGGTCTAGAGGAATTGTCATGATCACAGCCATGAATACACCTTTGAAAATGACCCCACTGTTTTATCTGCACATAATCAGCATTCATAATAAACATTTACTTGGAGTACATACCTGCAGTATGAGAAGAAACAGGAAGTAAGTATTGGCAACTTCCTGGAACTGCTCAAACAGGTTGACTGGTAGGAAGGTGATGATGTTGTACTTTGAGGTCATGATGCAGTTGTTCTGCGGACAAGAAAAGAGATGAAGGGGTTGGGATAGGCAGAAGATACAGGTTGAATGTGTGACTGTACAGTTTGACAGTTTGTATGTGTGACTTACAGCATACTGGAACTTCTCATTGTACTCTCTATCATTGGCTCGGACTCTTCTTTCCTCCTCTGTGAAAAACAAAAACAAAACATGAGGTACATTTACAAATTACACAAAGATACATTTAAAGTGGACATTATAAAAGTGTCCTCAATCTTTTTCCATTTAATAATGTCTTGACATATTTGCTTGTGATTAGCTCTAAAGCGCCATTCCACTTTACACAAATCAATGTACCTGGAATGTTGGGTAACGTAGTTAATAAAAATTAAGTTTAAAGAACATTTCAAAAACCTCATACTAACCTTTTATAACATTGTATTACCATTAATAAAACGGGTCATATTTACTGTCTTGCGATGTTACAAATCAACACTCCAAGAATGTGGATAAAAAAAAGTTTAATTAAGGAATGTTTTTCTATACTATCATTAAGGAAATTGAACAGTATCATGTTTTTCTGACATATTAAATCACTGTTTCTACAACCAAAATATAATTTTTGGAAAATGTTCGGAACTATGAATGTATGAGATTGCCTTTTCCATGAAAAAACAATCAACACATGCAAAATCCACTTTATTTTGCAGAGAAAAAAAAAGTCAGTTCTTCAGTGAGAAAAGAAGCACATTTACTAACTAACTAACTAACTAGATTTTGTGTGAAATGAATTTTAAACTACGGTGACAGCTAACGTTAGCCTTGTAGACAGAAGACTGATTTCTCTGATGTGTGTGCAGTTCCGGATTAGTGGGTGTGGCTTGCGGAGCTGTGCAATGTGGTGCATTGTAGGAGTTGTTGTCTTATATACAAATGCGCCCTTCGGTTATTTTCTCTGTCAAGAGGGCTCCAAATTCAAAAATTATTTTACATTTCGACTACATATATGATCCACTTTCAATAAAGATTAATGTTGAAATGGGTGAAATGCTCCTTTAAGGACATCATCGAGTGGCAGTGGCATACAGTAACTTTCAGTTCCTCATGAGACAAACTATATGGTCAGAGGGTCGTGTCAATGCTAAACACCAACTTTCATCAAGTGTGACCAAGCTGTGGTTGCTAAGTCAAACGCAAAACAACAACAAGAAGGAAACAATGACTAATTGTAGTGTAACAGATTAATTTCTGCATGATGATGAGGCTGAAAACGGGACTAAGTGTGAAAGAATAGACTGTGGTTAGCATATAGTCATACACCTGCTGTTGAAAGCGAGACTCAGTTTCAGAAGCTCACATTTAGCTCTTTACACCTGCTTCCAGCCAGACTAACATACATGATACAAAAACACACAGTAGTGTGTAGTAAAACAACACAACAGTTTGTTTCTGAGAAGAGCTCCTTTTTTGGTTCTCTCCTATTTTTATAGAAATTGTAGAAAACGTCTTTGCCGGATTCTGTCACATCCTGTGCTCACAGCTGCACAGTATTTTTGTGCTACATGGCCACTCCATGTGACAGACTGTCTGTAAGTGAGAAACAGAGAACGAGAGAAAGAGAGTGAGTGTGTGTCACTACATCATATTATCCATGGGTGACTTGCTGCATCTTAGTGGAGGAGACATGTCCCTTTGCTCTAGTGTGATGAAAAGATCATAGACCCTTGTGAATTTGCAAAAAGTCTCAAGTCAAAAGCTGAAGAACCAAGGAAGTGTTGAGCATCATCATCTCCATCAAACCTCTCCTCTCAAGACAAAAGACACCGAAACTCACTCTTATCTCTCATCTTTTCTTCACTCTCAACAAAACCCTTTACTGTGATAGTTTGCAAGTAGCTTGCAGATAAAAGATATTGAAGCATTTGGTTGGTCTGATTTCACTCTGTGCTGCTGTAATATACTGTAGATGAGAATCATCTTTGGAAAAAACAAAATAAAAACACACTGACCTCATTTACTCCCTGCTTGATAGTGAGAGAAAGAGGACTGCTAAATGGCCGAGAGCTGCATCTGCACCATTTACTGTATGTTTGCATCAAAAGGTCAAACCCATGCATGCATGCAAATATAGCCAGTCTGTAGCCTGTTTCCTCCTGCACTGAGCCCCTCATACCTTCTCTGGTCCTCTGCTCAGTTACCAAGACTCTATGTCTGTGGTTTCCTGTGTTAAAACAGCTCTGGCCGATTGATATACACTGCCCACATAGCCAACACACAGCAATATGCACACTAAAACAAACTTTATGCTGCCACAAAAAAAAAAAAGTCTCTACACCGTCAGCAAAAACTGTACATTCACTTTTTACGGGGGCAATACCCTTAAAAGAACTCATTTGTATTCAGCTATTTAACCTAGCCCTAACCTAGGATACCCTTTAAACGTTAGTTCACCCAAAAATGAAAATTCTGTCATTAATTACTCACCCTGCATATAAGACTTTGGTGTAACACTTTAGTTTACAGTGTCCTTTTTACATATGTTACATGTACTTACTATAGTAATAACAGTAAATTATGCATAATTACATTCAACTAACCCTCAACCAAATCCTAATCCTACCCAAACCCAAGTAAGTACATGTAGTTTCTTAATATTACTCAGTAATTAAACATATAATTACACTGTAACAATGACACCTTAAAATAAATTGTAACCAACTTCGGTTAATCTTCGAAACACAAATTATCTTTTTAATGAAATCTTAGAGCTTTCTGTCCCTCCATTGTCAGCCTACACAACTATTACTTTTAAGCCCCAGAAAGGTAGTAAATACATGAAAGAAATCCATGTGACTCCAGTGGCTTAACCTCAATTCTATTTAGTTACCTGAGTGCTTTTAAAAAAAAATATGAATCTTCAACACCCATTCATGAGAGCAACACGAAGCATGCTGTGTTCATGCGAGAGCACACATTGTTTCGTGAACGTGCGTTGGAGATTAAAATTTTATAAATAAAGTGGTAAATTATGTTTTTTTTTGCGCAAACAAAGCACTTTAACACATAAAATTGAGGTTAAACCACTGGAGACATTTTTGGGTGAACTAACCCTTTAAACAGACAGAAAATTCTGTCATAATTTACTCATGCTCCATGTCGTTCCAAATCTGTATGACTTTCATTGTTCTGTGGAGCACAAAAGAAGATACTGTCCATGCAATAAAAGTAAATGGGATCTATTATTGCTTGGACACCAATGCTGTTCCACAGAGAAAAGCAATTCATACAGGTTTGATATGACGTGATTGAGTAACACATGATAACTATAATGATGGCAATAACTATAAAGCTTTAATAATCGTTGTAATTAGGGATGGCCATTTTTGCCATTTTTTTCTTTTTGAGTGGCCTACTGAGGAGTCACGGCAGAGTCGACGAAGAGAGGAGCCATGATGGAGTCTTGGCTGACGACATCTGGAGGACGACTGACGGAGTGGAGCCCTAGGCGCTGATGGAGAGCCAATGGGGCCAAGTGAGACAGATGGTTCTGGAGACCAAGGCACAGCTGTAGCGACAAACGTCCAAGGTGAAGCCTGAGGATTGAGGCAGAGCCGGTGTGACAACCAAGGCAGGAACAAGGTTGAGCCAGGAGGAAGGCGGAGCCTGTTGAAGCCGTAAGGGTGGAGAGATGGAACACAGAATGGCTGATGGCTCGTAAGTCTGACTGACCAAAGTGGAGCCAAATGGATGAGGGAGCTCAGTGGAGCCGTAAGTCCTATGGTCTCTGGGGGATCCGAGGGAGGGAAGAGCTAAAGTGGAGCCGAGAGGTCAACGATCCAAGATAGAGTGACGGGATCAGCGGCCGGACGCAGAAATAGGGGATCCACTTGTTTGGGCGAAGCGGTTTATCCACACAGCCAAGCGTCAGGGGAGAAGACGGTGAGCTTAAGGGAACCCGAAAAGACGGATCTGAAGTACTGGCTGAATCTGGATGAGGAGGGAGGCTGGATGGGGTCAACACAATCTCATTACAGGGTGATGAAACAGGCTTTATGATCAGCAGGACCAGCGGCAATGAGAGCGCAGAGGATTCAAGGCTGGGCAGAACCAGCGGCAATGAGGGTACAGAAGATTCAGGGCTGGGCTGGGTGGGGAGCACTACCTTTGTCTCCCAATCAATTAACTTTGGTGTCCAGCTCCGTCAATATTCCCACGGGTACGGATGTTGCTGGCTCACACACCTGGTTAGACTGACTGTGAGGCTTCGGCTCCGAGGCAATAGTTGGTGCTGTCCTCATCTCAGACTCTGGCTCATTTATCGCAGCAGGCAGAAGCTCCCTGTCTGCCGTTGGCTCTGGCGTCGTATCTGTGTTTTGGGCTAATAGTTGGTTAGGCTCTGGGTTTGATGATGCAGGTGATGGCATGTACTGGGGGTAAACACTTTCCAGACACTGTAGGATGGCCTCCCTCCATGCCCCTTCCGTCATGTCTGGTAAGTTGAGAGGTCGATGGAAGTTTTCCACAATCCAGTATAGAGATTTTAAGGTCCCGTCATCAAAGGCAGTTCGTTGGGCAAGTGTGCTGAACTGAATTGTATAGTCCAATAATAGAAGCCCTTCCTGGGCTAAAGCAATAAATATTGCATTATATTCCATCTTCTTTTAGGTCAGGTATACTGTCACATGATGATGAAGAAGGTTCAAATAACAACAGTCTTTATTCAAATAAAACAAACTTGTTAGTGAATGCCCATGGAAATGAATGACTGGTGGGAAAGCTAGAACTAAGGAAGTAGGTGACTGAAGATAAAAAAAAACTTAAAGTAAGTGAAAATTAAACCTAACTGTGACTCACTTTCAGAATTTTTTTCTCATCTGATGAACGATAAAAAAAATGGCAGCCAATCAGAGTCCATCATGCTATATAGAGCTTGAGCATTTAAAGCAGCAGACAACATAACTGCAGTGCATACTTAAAATAAACAACATTATACACAACAACTAATGCAGTTATAGCAACAAGTATCTTTACACTTACAGTATCATGTATTCTATTCTGCATCTATTCTCAGCCTCCGCACGTTTGATCTGTTGCTTGTTAACATATTGTTTTCTATATGTTATGAGTTGGAGGTTTAGTCCTTATCCTCCATGCTGTGTTGGGTTAGTATTAGTCAACAAACTCTCTT